TGGAGGACTACGCCTCCTGCCAGATGGCAATCATGCCGGAAACCTTTTTCCGCCACGCCGACGAGGGTAGAATCGTCATTAAAAAAACCTCCAAATGGTGGTTCTGGAACGGCGGTATCGAGTTTGACGACGGCTCTAGGTCGGAGTTCGACGTCGTCATTATGGCCACCGGCTTCGACGGCAACAAAAAGCTTCACGACATTTTTCCGCCGCAGTTTCGAACCTTTCTTCACTATCCTTCCGGCATGATGCCCTTATACCGGTGGGTCACTTTTATTTTTATTTTTATTTTTAATTCTAATTATTAGTGAAATTAAAAGTAACCATTTTAATATTTTTTTTTAAAAAAAAAAATTATGGAATTGTTATAAATATCATAAAATCAAAAACCCAATTATCATGAATTTTTTATTTTTTATTTTTTTATTTTTTATTACCATTTTATGATACCCTAAACCCTAAATACCTTGTTAATAATCATAATTAATTTATTTCAAATAATTATCATTAAATTTAAATCTCTAACTCTAAAAATGTTTTATTTACCAACAACCGTAAGAGCTTAAATTTTAATTTTAATTTAATTTAACTTAAATTTTAATTTTAATTTAATTTAACTTAAATTTTAATTTTAATTTAATTTATATACTTCAATTTTAATTTGGTTTTCTCGGTGATTTTGCTTTAAATTTTCGTTAATAAATAATTAAAATAATGTCACTTTGATTTAAATAAAACTAATAAGTCATAACATAAATTTATAATTTAACCTGAAACCCTAGAAACCCTAAAGTTTTATAAATTTAACTTTAAGAACACAGTTTAATGAATAAAATATCTATTATTTAGGGGTACGATCAATCCAATGATACCAAACATGGCGTTCGTGGGATATTTGGAGAGCGTGGCCAACCTGCACACGGCGGAGATACGGAGCATATGGCTAGCCAGACTAGTGGACGAGAAGTTCAAGCTGCCCGAGACCCGAAAAATGGTGGAGCAAATAAACGAAGAAATGGAGGTGATGAAGAGGACGACGAGGTTCTACAAAAGGCATTGCATTTCAACTTATAGTATCAATCACAGTGACCAAATGTGCGAGGAAATGGGATGGAACCCTTGGAGGAAGAACACTTGGTTCTCTGAAGCTTTCTCTCCTTATGGCAGTCAAGACTACAACAAAACCACCACCAAATAAATTCAACCATCCTCTCTCTCTCTCTATATATATATATACACACACACACATACATACACATTATTTACACTAAATATGTTATTCCATAAAGCTTTCGTGTCGGGTCGTGTGTTTTAAGGTCTTTTTATTTCGTAACGTTTTTGTGTGTTTTAATGTCTTTTTATCGTACCCTTTTTGTAGTTGAATATAAAAATTGGTTGATGTTATATAAATTTACGTCGTATAATCCAAACTTGACCGATTGACATAAGGTCAAGTGAGGAAATGAGATTTCACCTTTTCTTCTTTACGTGACGGTTTCTTCATTTATTTTTATTTTTTTATTTTTTTATGTCAATTCTACCGTGATTGATAAGTTTATTATGAACTAACTTAAATAGTCGCCATCTGAAAAGGATATAAAACAAAAGAATGTTATAATATAAGGGACTTAATTAAAAATATATATATATACTAAAACATATATATTTATTTTAATGTAGTCATACGGCACAATATAATATATACCAAATTATTGAAAAAATTAACCATCTTCTTTAAAAACTTACCTGAGATCGCATATTGGTTGGAGAGAAGAATATAAGAAAATCAATTGAGATCACAATTTCAGAATTTACATCTTTAAAAAAAAAATTGTTCACGTCTGTAAATAAATTGTGAATATGGTTCAAGTAATAAATGTCCGAGTTTCTTTTGGATCCCAATTCCAATACGATCCCCATGTCTCATTAGCCCATACAGCCCCTGAAAGAATACCTTTACTTAAAAAGATAAATCCTAGGTTAATAATACGATAACTCCCATACGGCCCTGAAAGAATACCTATGCTTAAATAGATAAACCCTAGACTAATAATACGATAACTCCAATGATCTAATCGTTTGACCAGAGACTTATAATAATTATTCGAAGAAAAAAAATAAGTGTTTCTTATAAGGATGTAGAATCCTCTCTCTACTATAACCTTCCTGACGATTTCTTTTTTGTTCTAGTCACCCCAACATACGAAATTGTATTGATACTTGGTATATATATATATATTATAAAAAAAAAAACGAGTAGATAGAAATTAATCAAAATGGATAAAGAAATAGTGGGTTCCTTTTACTTCTTAAACAGTAAGGTCCTCTCTTTACACCGGAGCTCCTTTTATTTCATCAATGTTATTATTAACTTGTCAGCCCTCTTTGGCTCTACCCATGAATTAGCAACCGAAGTGTTTTAAAAACCTTGAGTGTAAACTCAAAAGGAGAAATTCAAAAGACGGGCTAACGGTGAGGGATAGCAAACACGTTCTATTAAAAACCTTGAGAGAAAGCCTAAAGAAGACAATATTTAGGGGTGAGGGAAATCAAACAAGTTTTCTTAAAAACGAGAAACCCAAAGATACAATATCAATGAAAAACTAAAGAGGACAATAATATTTACCCGTGGTGAGGGGAAGCCTAAAAAGGAAAAGCCCAAAAAAAAAATAATATATGTCTGTAGTGAACTTGGATCGTTACAAGTTATGTTCAAGTTAGAATCGTTCATCACACTACTGATTGAACTTGGATCGTTACAAGTTATGTTCAAGTTAGAATCGTTCATCACGCTACTGATTGAACTTGGATCGTTACAAGTTATGTTCATGTTAGAATCGTTCATCACGCTACCAGTTAAACACTTGTCCGTACACGGTTGTTAGTGATGGAAGAAGAAAAAAATGGTACACAAATGCGTCGGCAAAGGCCCATTCATGATCATATTTTTGCCTAGACTTGCAAAACTGCGCGCAGCATCGTTTGTGAATGTAAGAACATATAAATGATTAATAGAAGAGATCAACGGAGAGAGAGGAGAGGCTTCCTGAAAAGCTCAAGAAATTGATCGGTTTGGTACAACAACAAGAATCAACCAAAACTCTATCCAAAAAGAAACATGAGACAACATGATCAGCCATGGCATTGCGATGACACCGGGAGAAGGGACAGCCTTGGAGGTGGTAGAACCCATTTGTTTCCATGGATATAAGTCATACTCAAAAACGCCTTCGCTTCGTCGTCCGTGAGTATTCTCGTGTAGTGTGCTCGGCCTGTGCTGTCCGCCCCGGGTCCTTTGCATTTGTACTCACCGTAGTACATACTCCTGTCAACACGGTCGATAATCAAAATGAATCAATCAACTAGCAATAATACGACGACAATGATGATGATGATATTATTATGTGCGTGATTTTGCTCACTTTCGAGGTTCAGTTCCCTGCATTTTATCGGACCATCCTTGGGTGTTAATGAGTGTTCCCATGTAAGTGTAAGCAAAAACCACACGAGTTCTCTCCTTCCATGCTCTTCCCAAATAGGTGTTTCCAGTTCCAGTGATGTTGCAATATGCAAATGTGAAGCCGCTGTCGTCTGTGGAATTTTCCCTTGCTTGAGCTGTGATCACTCCTGTCCCTTCCGCCACTGAGTTTATTACTGTTTTCTGTCACAAACACACACACATATATGGATGAAAGGGTTGATGACAACAAATGGATATAAATTTTGAATATTTTTGCATAGTACCTTTAACCACATCTAACCGGTGAACAATTGTCGACCACATTGTAACAGACTCATTGAATAATTTGTTCGTGAGTAAAAATAGATGATAGTATCTACTTACTAGCTCGATTATGGTAAAAATGAATACCTGCTTACCAAATCGATGATAGTATCTACTTACTAGCTTGATGAGAGTAAAAATAGCTACCCACTTACTACCAAATCGATGACAGTAAAAGTAGCTACCCACTTACTACCAGATCGATGACAGTAAAAGTAGATACCCACTTACTACCAGATCGATGACAGTAAAAGTAGATACCCACTTACTACCAGATCGATGACAGTAAAAGTAGATACCCACTTACCACCAGATCGATGACAGTAAAAGTAGATACCCACTTACCAGATCGATGACAGTAAAAGTAGATACCCACTTACTACCAGATCGATGACAGTAAAAGTAGATACCCACTTACTAGCTTGATGACAGTAAAAATAGCTACCCACTTACTAGGGATGATAGTAAAAATAGCTACCCACTTACCCGGATCGATGATAGTAAAAGTAGCTACCCACTAACCAGATCGATGATAGTAAAAGTAGCTACCCACTAACCAGATCGATGATAGTAAAAGTAGCTACCCACTAACCACATCGATGATAGTAAAAGTAGATACCCATTTACCAAATCGATGATAGTAATTCGTGTTAATGTAATGTAAGAGAAAGTATTGGTTATTTTTTGTGTTAAAGTTGGGTTAATTAATTTGTAAGTGTAGGAAGATTTGAGGAGATTTTGATATGAAAGTATAAGAAGGGCGTAGGTACCAAGTAGAGGGATTTGCCATTTCCAAAGATGAAGTCGACCGTGCCTTCGATGTAACAATCCTTGAAAAAATGTCTGCCTCTGTCATCGCAAAGAGTGTCCTGAAATCCTATGAATTGGCAGTGGTGGAATGCTGCCTTATCCCCTGATATCCTCATTGCCACTGCTTGTCCTCCTGTTCTTCCTGCATCCGGCATTGGAGCTGAATTCTGCAGCAACAAATTCATCATACCCAATCTTCATTTCTTGTTAATCACTACAATTTCATCTTCATTCATTCAAAACACGTTAGGAGATTGTACAATTTTGAACTAGAAAGGTTGGTTAGTGAGGAATCAAACTAACGTGGAATCGAACTAACGTGGAATCGAACTAATGTGGAACCTCACAATCCATTTTCTTCGGGGGCGCACAATCCTCGCTAGCACACAGCATGGTGTCTAGCTCCGATACCATTTGTAACGGCCAAGCCCACCGCTAGCAGATAATGACTCTTTGGGCTTTCCCTGTCGGAGTTCCCCTCAAGGTCTTTAAAACGGTGTCTACTAGGGACTCAAGGTCTTTAAAACGGTGTCTACTAGGGAGAGGTTTCCACACTCTTGTAAGAAATGTTTCGTTCTCCTCTCCAACCGATATGCCGCATCTACTAGGAAGAGGTTTCCACATGTTATAAGGAATATGACACAAAAGAGATTTCCACACCTTTGTAAGAAATGACACATCTATTAGGAAGAGGTTTCCACACCCTTGCGAGGAGTGTTTCCTTCTCCCCTCCAACCCATGTGGTTGTAATTGCACGATAATAAGTATTAAATTTCTTACCAATCATGCATTTTTTGTATTACAGTATACGAGATTCAAAGAGATTCAAACTTTTGACATCTTAGTCGTTGATACGCAATTGAACTATGCTAATCATGACAACCAAATCACGACGGATTGATATCTAAAATGAAACTACAAATTAAATCACGACGGATTGATATCTAAAATGAAACTACAAATTAAATCACGACGGATTGATATCTAAAATGAAACTACAAATTAAATCACGACGGATTGATATCTAAAATGAAACTACAAATTTTCGGATTTTTCAAATCTACACCGAGTAATTAAAAACCTACAAATTTTTTATCCAACAAGTTATAGTCATCTCAAAAGGGAACTTTTCTAACAGAAATAACCAATTGTGCAAGAAAATGTCAAGATTTTAACGTGAAAACTCATGCTTAATTTTGATGGCGAATAAATGCATGAATTTTTTCCGGAAAAAAATATAAATAAATAAATAATTAATTCGTAGTCACGCAATAATACGCTACTAAAAATTTTTTGCGCCCCATAACTTTCACTATTTACAAAACTTGCCCCACAAAAATGAGGAGAAGAAGAAGAGAAACTCACCACAAACGCAACATTGACGGCGACGAAATAATCCGATTCCACAGCCACCGTCGCGCTCTCGGCTGTACCAAATTCCGACGCCGTTCCGTCGTACGATATGACCGGCATTTTTCCTGTCTGACCGTACAGCGTCACGAACGGCTTCGAAGAATCGATCGTGATCTTCTCGCGGTAAGTCCCACCGCCGATCCACACCACCACTCGCTCACGATTTCCGGACGGAATGCTCTCAATCGCTTGAGTGATCGTTGAGAAATTTCCTTGTCCGTCTTGTTTAACGGTGATCAGTCGAGCGCAATCCTCCGCCTTAGCAAGTCGCGGATCCAGCGTCTTGGCTCCTGTCTCGTTCGCCTTCCGTTGACGGTACTCTCTCATGTTGTGTGCGATCCATTCGTCGAGCTGCGATGGCTCTGCCGGAATCGTCTTCGTGCGAGCTTCGACGACAATGGCTGCAGGAATAAGTATGGTAATGAGTTGGACCACCGCCAGTACGAGCGCCACCGTCGCCGGAAAAGATGAAGCAACGGCTGGCCGAGACATTTCTCCCGAAACTCTCCTTGTGGGGGTGGTTTTTGGCCTTGAATGAATTCGAGGTGGGAGGCTGTGGTGGTAGATATTTATAAACGCGAGGGGTAAAATGGGAAATTTGGATTATTATTCAAAGTCATTACGTGTTTGGTAATATTGGTGTTTTTATAGGATGGGTAGTTCTTTTTTTGGGGAGTGGGAATGTTTGGAGGAAATTGGTAAAAAAAATAATAAATTAATTAATAAATAAATAATTCAACAGCTAAATTATACAAAATACAATTAGCGTTCGAAAACTTCAATGGTCCGAAAAACCTGATCAACTCATTCTAATCAAGACAGTTTGAAAAACCCGATCAACTCATTCTAATCAAGACAGTTTGAAAAACCCGATCAACTCATTCTAATCAAGACAGTTTGAAAAACCCGATCAACTCATTCTAACCCAGACAATTTGAAAAAAATCGATCAACTCATCCTAACTAAGATAGTTGGAAAAACTCGATCAACTCAACCTAACTATGACAGTTGAAAAAATCCGATCAACTTATCTTAATCAGAACCGTTTGAATAACCAGTCAACTTATAACTTATCATAACCCGGACAATTTGAGTTCAACTCATTCTAACACAGACAATTTGAAAAACTCGATCAGCTCATCCTAATCAGGACAGTTGGAAAAACACGATCAACTCAACTTAATTAGGACATTTGGAAAAAAACCCGATCAACTGAATAACCAGTTAACCTATCATGAATTGGGTTATGAACTTATTTAAGTTAAGTTTAACCTGAATTCAAATAAATGATAATTTTATGGATGGTACTATTTCATCCATTATTACGTAATCATATAATAAAATTATCGACCATTTATACAATAATATATATCGTTAATAGCATAATAATTGAAATAAAATTGAAGTAATTTATGGATTTTATAACGACTTATTTTAATTTTTTTTTTAAAGATAATTGATTAAATTAAAACTTTTAAATAAATTTCCATTTATTTAATTTTATTCTTTGAAAAAAAAAAGGACACCAACCGTTTGTAGCAGTTAGGATTACGTTGAAATCTCAAACATTGCAACAACAACCCATTAACTAACCCATGTGGGCCCTCTCACTCCCGCCCAATTTACTTTTTTTAGATATTTTATTTTAAACAAATTCAATAATTTTTTTTTATTTATTATTTTCTTTATTATTTTAATTGAACCCATTAAATATTAAGAATATATAATAATGTGCTTATTTCTAAAATTAGATCGAGTAAATTATATTTACCCTTTTAAAACGTGACGAATACAGACTATCTCATCTAAACCATAAAAGTCGGGTTATGTTATAAGTTTTTTAATTTGGGTTAGGTTGAATTTAAAATAAATAAATAAATAAAAAATTGGGTCGGTTTGTGGGTTGAATTTTTTTCTTTTTATGGAGCCAACCAGATTAACCCGAAAATGGGGTTATAATTCAACCTAACCCTACCCTGTTTTAAAGATTATTATGAAGGTTAAAAATATTTAACATTTATAACCGATATTAGTGATACGTTATGACTTATGAGTGTTAAATATTTGAGTTTTATGAGATTTTAGTTATTAATGTAATATATATTAGACACGGGCTTTTTTTAATGATTAGAAAAAACAAAAAACTAGCTTAGTCTCTCAAAACCCTCCATTTTTTTAAATAATTAAATAATTATCAAACTGAACCTAAAATTTACCATTTTTCACGTTTTGGAGTGAAAATTAGCTTTATGTGTCTCACAAAAACCCTCGATTTAAAAAAATTAAATAATTATCCAACTAGTTCATGTTTTTTGGTGAAAATTAACTCACACAAAACCCTCGATTTAAAAAAATTAAATAATTAACAAATTGGACCTAAAATTTACAATTTTTCACGTTTTTGAGTAAAAATTAGCTTTAAGTATCTCGTAAAACCCTCGATTTTAAAAAATTAAATAATTATCAAACAGTACTTAAAATTTACAATTTTTCACGTTTTTACTTGAAAATTAGCTTTAAGTATCTCACAACACTCTCAATTTAAAAAAATTAAATAATTATCAAATTGGACCTAAAATTTACAATTTTTCACGTTTTTTATGTAAAAATTAGATTTAAATATTTCTCAGAACCCTTGATTAAAAAAATCAAATAATTATCAAACTTGACCTAAAATTTTCAATCTGTTACATTCTCGAGTGAAAATTAGGTTTAAATTATGTCTCGAAAGCCGAGAAAGAAGCCCATCTCTTCTTATCCCTCGACAAAATGACCAAAAATGGAAGGTTTTTTTTTTTTTTTTAAACTTTTGACCATTCAAACAAGTAAAAGGCTTAAAATGAGTGCTTCGAACTATTGGTTCACATGTATTTTGGGTCCATATGAATTAAAAATTAAAAAAATATATTTTTGTAGAGCTCACAATATTAGTAAAGGATGCAATAATTGACCACATGGGATTTACACCATATTTGTGAGGAATCTTTTGTACTTAATTATCATTCATCCATATTTGTAATTTTTATTTAAAAAAAATATAATTAATTTCAATTTCATTATTAAGTGTTTTTTCTATTTTTTTCGTTTAATAATTATAATTACACGAATATAATGAAAAACTCTTCGTAAATTCGCTAATTAAATTCAATCGTAATTAATTGAAATAATTTTATTAAAAAATTCATAAATTTTAATTAGATTTTACTGTAATGTCGTTATTAATGGAAGGATTAAAATTGCAATAATTATTAAAGAACGTAAAAATTGATACAATTTGACAAATTTAACCCTAAATAATTTTTTTATTTTTTATTATAAAGTTTTTTAATCTACACAGTTTAGTCTAATGTATATTTATTTTATTTTTGTTTATGTATATTTTAAATGGTAAATTAAAGGCTAAAAATGTAATTACCCAATAAAATGAAAACAAAATGTAATCTTGTAATCGATACGAAGAATAATAATAAAAAGTTAATCGAATATAGATATATACTTTTGATCAAAAGACTCGAGGTTAAAACCCGAACCCGAATCACATATTTGGAAAAAAAAAAAAGAGAATAAAGTGAAGAGGATGGGGCATATTGCATATGGAAGCATATGCAGTAATTTAATGTGGTGGGAGCGAGGGAGTTATGGGTCCGTCAGAGATTGCCGCCTCCCTGTCCTTTTCCTTCTTTCTTTCATACTATAAACGTCTCGAGACGTGTACGTGAGCTAGATTTGATCCATGACTCAAGTCATTTGAATCAAATTTATAATCCAACTCGACTTTCGAATTGGATTGTACAGTTGTTACAGTCCTAAGCTACCGTTAGCAGATACTCTTTGTGTTTTTCTCTCTGGGCTTCTCGTCAAGGGTTTTAAAACACGTTTGTTAGGAAGAGATATTCACACATTTGTAGAGAATGTTTCGTTTACCTTTCCAACCGATTTACGATTTCACATGCATTAATAGCTAAAATTACGAATATTTTATTAGACATGGGTCAATTTTAGCATAATTTATAAATTAATAAAATTTTGAGCAAAAATTCAATAAAAATATAAAAAATAAGACAAAACTCATCAAATATTAATATCATAGGTTAAAAATTAAATATAATATTAAACTATATGTTATTTATTATTCATTAAATAATAATAATATAAAAATTTCAAATGATTATTGGAAGCAACTAATTCATTAATGTTTCCATAACCATTGTCCTAGAAATCCTCCCCATTCCCCATTGTTCCCACGCTCCCACTTTTCTTCCTCCGCCATGACTTCCCTTTCTCTCCTCCTCGTTCTCCTCCTCTCTCTCTCCCTCTCCGCCGCAGCCCACGACGGCCCTCCGCCGTCCCAAGATCTGATCCACTCCTCCTGCCTTCAAGCCAGCTACCCAAGTCTCTGCATCAGAACCCTCTCCTCCTACTCTGGCGCCGTCAACACCCCACAAGATCTCGCCCAAGCCACCCTCTCCGTCAGCCTCTCCCTCGCCCGCGACCTCTCCCGGTATCTCTCCAATTCATCCGCCAACCTCCGGCAGGCCTCGAAGCGGCAACGCGCGGCGGTTGACGACTGCGTGGAACAGATTGGAGACTCTGTCGAGGAGCTGAGCAACACTCTGGGTCTCCTCCGCCACCTCCCCTACGGCGACCGCCGGTCTTTCCGATTGCAAATGAGCAATGCCCAGACGTGGGTCAGCGCCGCCTTGACCAATGAAGACACGTGTCTCGATGGGTTTAAGGAAGTGGATGGGGAGGTGAAATTTGATGTTAAGAAGAGGATTTCTAAGGTCGCTAAAGCTACTAGTAATGCTCTGTATATGATTAATCGCCTCGACGTCGGAACCCCCGCCGGGAGGAAGAAATTGACCGCTCCTTGAGCTTGATCGCGGCGGCGATGGCGGATTCCGGTGGAGTAGAGTTTGTTGCTCTGTTTTTTCTTGTTAATGTATTATTGGCTAAATATACAAAATCGTTCTTGAGAGGTAATGCTCTGTTTTTTTCTTCATCGAGGCTTTAAAATATATCTATTTAACTTTCAGTCCCTCCAACATCAAATAAAATAACTATTTAGTCCCCAAATTTTATGTTTTAGTCCCTCAATTATGTCAAATTTTGTCTTTTAGTCCTCCACTACAAAAGAGATAGCTAATGTGAGCTGTAATTTTTGGTGAGCATATGACACAAAAATCACAATAATTGCCATGGATTCGAATCACGATTTAGAATTCAGATTCGGTACTCGAGGGTCGAGTCATTAATTCTGCAATAATCCAAGTCCACCGTTAGCAGATATTGTCTGCTTTAAACTTTCCATTTCGAGTTTTCTCTCAAGGCTTTAAAACGCATCTGCTAGGAGAATATTTCAACACTCTTATAAATGGTGGTTTGTTCTCCACCAATAATGTGGGAGCTAAAAAGGATAATATCGGCTAGCAGTGGATTTAGATTGTTACAGATTCCTTCAGCATGTTCTGTTCTCACTCATGTCACCCAACATAGAATTGTTATAAGACACGCTTAACTATGGTGAAGTCACTAAAAAAAAGTAAGATATGCCTAGTTGATATAAGCAGTGACTTTCACTTATTTTAAATATTTTTTAGTCATTCTATTATAAGAATTACTCTTATGTGTTCCCAGCACATAATGAATTAAAAAATTATTAAAAATATACTTTTACCTTAATTTTTTAAATTGTCCATTTTTATCATTAGTTTCAAAATGCCATGTTTTTAGTATTAATTTCGGAGTTTAGTTTTAATAAATTAAAATTAGTAAACCGCTTTAATTATGATAATTTAAAACTAATTATTACAAATAACAAGCATTTAGAGCACAATTAAAGATAATAATATAAATTTTAAAACATAATAACCAAATAAAAATAAAACTCAATAACCATTTAGTTTTTTTTTTAATTATTTTTTATTTTATTATGTTCCTATTTTCACAATTTCTTTGTCGTTTCTTTTTTATTTTCATAAATAAATTATTGGCAAAATTTTAAATAAAAAATAAAATAGACAATAATATATTTAATATTTATTTATTTATCAATAGTAAAAATAAAATAAAATATACCCAAACATAGTTTAAATATTTATATATTTTCAACTAAAATATCCACATGTCTACTTCCATGTAGATTAAACAAAATAAATTAGTCAATAATCTCAAATTTATTAAGAGTGAATTTATAATGACATTTGAAATTTCCTATATTTCTCTCTTTTTTTTTGTTTATTATTATTATTATTTTTTAGTTTAAAATCGCTAGCCGATATTGTCCTCTTTGGGCTTGCTCGAGGTGTCTGTCTCTGATACCATTTATAACGACCTAGATCCATTGTTATCAGATATTGTCTCTTTGAGCTTTCCCTTTCGGACTTCCCTTCAAGGCTTTAAAACGCGTCTGCTAAGGGAAGGTTTCCACATACTTTATAAATGGTGGTTTGTTCTCCTCCCCAACCAATGTGGGATATCAAATTCCAACTCCATTCGGGGCCAGTGTCCACGTTAGCCCATTTTCATTATTTATTTTTATTTTAGTTTATAAATATATTTTTATCTAAAATGATTTATAAATGAGTTGTTAAATCATTGAAATGATAATAAATCGAAATGAATGTATTTTATTTTGGACAAATAAATTATATTTGATTTTTTAAAATATAATATGTATAATTAATTTTTCAGTTTGATTATGTACAAGTTTTATTAAATACATTTAAATATAATTATTAATATGGATTATTGAATAAACTAAGAAACTTAAATTTTAAGCATATTATATAATATTTTAATGAATAAAAATTAAATCGGTTCTATTTATTTTAATATTATTTTATTTTTTATTTAATAAATAGGAATTGGGCTAATGGGCCAACGAGCCCATGGGTCAAAAGACTATATCCAAGTAATAGACCTAGACCGCATTGAGTTTTTTCGGTTTTCAATCAAAAAAACCGGAAGAAAACCCACAAACTCCGGTTCGGTTGAGAAATTCGATTCGGTTCGTCGGTTCTTTTGCTTTCGTAATTGCTTATAAGCTCTGAAACACGAAACCAACGGTATCAGAGTAAAACCCTGGCACTGCTTGGTTTCCTTGCGCGCTGCCTAGGGTTTATTCTTCACTTTCAGACCACCGATTATGGCCATGGAAGGCCTTGAGATGGAGGCATCGTTCGAATTTGAATCCAACGATGACTTCTGTGACTTGATTCTCTCACGTTTCAGCAATTCCAGCAATGAAAATCATCAGCATGTTTGCGCCGTCATTGGCGCCATGGCTCAGGAGCTCAGAGACCAGAGTCTTCCTTCCACTCCAGTTGCCTACTTCGGCGCCTCCTGTTCGTCTTTAGACCGTATCTCCTCTGAGCCTGACCCGCCGCCTCATCTTCTTGACGCGCTTCTTACCATTCTGTCTCTGCTTCTCCCGCGAATTTCCCCTCCGATTTTGAATAAGAAGAAGGAGTTTTTGTCGGGCCTTCTTATTCGCGTTCTTCGTATACCGTCGTTGACTCCCGGTGCGGTTACATTCGGACTTAATTGTGTTTCGCATTTGGTGGTTGTTAGGAATGCTGTCAACTGGTCGGATGTGTCTAATTTGTTCGGGTTTATTCTTGGGTTCGCTATTGATTCGCGCCCTAAGGTGATTTCTTACAACTCTTATCCGATTCATTGCTTACGATCATTTGGATTTTTTTTTTTAAAAATGCGTGTACTTGAAATCCTGGTGTTTTGATCTCTTTGTGTATTGGGCAATTTGAATGGTTTTTGAATGTTTGCTATCTGAATGAAGTACTGATTGTGGCTGAACAGGTTAGAAGGCAATCGCACATTTGTCTTCGGGATGTCTTGTTAAAAGTTCAGGGAACGTCACTCCTCCCCTCTGCTAGCGAAGGGATCACCAATGTTCTTGAAAAATCTCTTTTACTCGCGGGTGGCTCAAACCCGACGGCTACTGAAAGACCTAAAGGAGCTCAGGAGGTTCTATTTATTTTGGAGGCTTTGCGGGAGTGTCTACCTCTCATGTCAATGAAGTATATTACTAACATACTTAAATACTACAAAACTCTTTTGGAGCTGCACCAACCTGTTGTTACTAAGCGCATTACGGATAGTTTGAACTCACTTTGTCTCCACCCAACTGTTGATGTTTCTGCGGAAGTACTGCTTGATCTTTTATGTTCTATGGCATTATCTTTTTCTACGAGTGAAACATCTGCAGATGGCCTGGCTTTCACAGCTCGCCTGCTTAATGTTGGGATGCAAAAAGTTTATAATGTTAATAGGCAGATATGTGTAGTTAAGCTCCCTGTTGCTTTCAATGCACTCAAAGGTTTAATGCTTGCTTTAAAACTTCTAGTTAAGTTCACACTCGTTTCTTCATTGCTTGTGGAAAAAGATGCAATTAATTTGTAACGTTCATGTTGGATTGACAGATATTATGCTATCTGATCACGAGGAGGCAATTCGAGCTGCCCAGGATGCTATGAAAAATCTGATAAGTTCTTGCATTGATGAAGACTTGATCAGAAAGGGTGTGGATCAGATTAGGACGACTGAAAATGTGGAGGCAAGGAGGTCTGGGCCGACCGTAGTAGAAAAACTATGTGCTATTATAGAAAGTTTACTTGATTATCATTACACTGCTGTTTTCGACTTGGCTTTTCAAGTTGTTTCAGCCATGTTTGGTAAATTAGGTATTTTTGAACTACTTGATCTTATTGAATTTCCTCTTCACTCATCATTTGGACATGTTACTAAAATTATCATTTCCTTTGTATGGTTTGTCGTCCATTTTTCAATGTGAAAAGGTCTTGGTTCATTATTGTGCAGGGAAATATTCTTCTTACTTCCTGAAAGGAGCCCTTAATAGCCTGGCAAACATGCAGAAATTGCCAGATGAAGACTTCCCCTTCCGGAAAGAGGTATTCTTCCCTGAGTTAAGGACGCCAAATAATTTATACATTGCTTATTAATTTTTGTCACAGATTCTCATAGGTTTTATTGTTTAGCATCCGTAGTTCAGAATCCAAATGGGAAGTATTTGCCCGGTCTTTTCATTTTGTTTCCCATATTATTTTCTGGTCCTTTTGGTGTGGGTATGGGTTTGATGGCCACAAGGATTTACTTCTCTCGTATTGTTTTAATACATGCTTTCTTCCTCAATCTGTGTGTCACTTGTGTTGAAAAAGGGGAACGTATCTCTTTTTTTCTGCTTTTATTTGCTACATTCTACACTGGTTATCACTAATTGGCTCAATCTTGTAAGTTCATTGTTTGCTACATCATGTCCAAGAAATATTTAAAATTTATTATTGGGTGATGATGGAGCGTTTGAGAATTATGTCCTAGATGTGTTTTTCTCTTTCTCTGAGACTAATAAACAAATATTCACGTATGTTATTTATTTTATCTTTGTAATGAGATCCAACTTTCATTGGGAAGATGAAAGTTCAATGTACTTTCATAAAAAGAGGCCGAGCCAAATATGGAAAACAAGAAACTTGCATAGAAGAACAAGTAAGCTTAAAAAGAACAAGTAAGCTTAAAAAGGATATACCAGTTGGTATGACAATGATGTAGTTCAGACACTGTGTGCCATTTATTCTGTAATTCTAGTTTTGTCAATGGGATCTTTCTGGTGATTATCTCATATCTTTCATAGAGTTTTCAAAGCAATCAGAGGTAAAAAGTTGGGAATGGGATTATGTTGTCCGCGGCTTTTGTTGGAATGTAACTTACTGGGTGTCTAGCTGTTGGTTTCGGCCTCCTTGGGAATGGATTTCTTTTGTGCATTTGATTATCTATTCATTCTCTTGTGTTACTCTTAACCAATGCTTGTTCCACAACTCAGTTGCATGAATGCCTTGGATCAGCTCTTGGTGCGATGGGACCTCAAAGTTTCTTGGATCTTGTACCTTTTAATTTGGACACAGAAAACCTATCAGAGATTAATATTTGGCTCCTTCCAATATTGAAGCAATACACTGTTGGT